GCACAGAACCCGCCAGAACCCTCTGGAATCGCCAAGAACCATCTGGACCTGCCCACACCCAGCTGGAACCTTCCGGAACTTTCTGGAACCGGACGGAACCCCTCCTTATGGAGCCCTGCAGCCGTGGCCCAGCCACCTGCACGTGGCGCAGGCCTGAGGCGAGCTGCTGGGGGCGGCGCAGCGCGAGGGCGCTGCTTGTGCCCACCCCGTCCCCACAGCGACACGATGTCACCTTCCTCTCCCCAGCAGAGCCGCCCAGCAGCAGGTACTTATTTTTTTCTTCCGCCTTGCTCTGTTTTCATCAGAAGCCAAGGACTTCCCATTAACCCCAACGAAAACTGCAACCGGGTGCCGTGACAGGACGCGTTAGAAATTCAGTTTATTTTTCCCCTCCAGCTCTCCTCAAATACACATAAGGTTTATAGATAATATTTTTCCATTAGCCTAAAGAATCTTTTTTAGGAACAAGTGGCTCTCCTGTGGCTCTTTCTCAGTGTCATGTCTAGCTGAAATGTGTGCTGAGCAGACCAGGGGTGTTCTCTAACCCACTTGTGTAGGTTTAAATGTATATATTATGCAGGGCAATTGTGGATCACACTCAGTGGAGTAACTTCAGATGTAATTGAAAGCAGGACTTGTTCCCGCTACTTTATAAATAGCAGCAATAACTCCTAGCCTTTCACACAGTGTTTGAGCTTTTAATATTCTGCTGCGCCATTCTATGGCCAGCACTGAGGAGCAAAATCCTTTCAGATCTCTTGTAGCTTGGCAGAAAGCTGTAAGAGGTAAATCAGAGATAAAGAGGAGTAATTAACTCTTTCATACGTCACTTTCAGCCAGGAGAGTTTAAGTCTTGCTTTTGATCTTTCAAATTGACCACAAACCTTGCATTCCTTGTGTATTGTATATTATAATTATATGCAATTATGTTTAATAGTATACATGTAAGTAGATCTGTACTACAGACACACACACACACACAAAAAAAAAAAAAGCATGGAAAGGGTTTGGGAGGAGATATAAGCAAGTAAATGTGAAGCATATGAGAAATCTAATTCATAAAATACAATTTCAAAATACAAACATCAGCTGCCAGAGCATCCTCATAAATCACATCAGTTGTATGCAGTAGTATGTTGAGATTAAATATGTATGGTGAGAAGCAGAACACTCTGAACCACAAATAACTAACATCTTCTGTTTCAAATATTTATTCTGATCTAGGGTTATAGGTGTGAGAACTAGTTTACCCCAGGAAAAGAGCGTGTACAGGTTGGAAACTGGACATGCACCACAGGAATTAGTAGCCCTGTTGCCTGCACAGGATCCATCCAACACACACTCAGTTAACTCAGTGTCACACAGGTAGCAAGGTTCGTGCAGCTGTAGGAAGCAGCAAAGATTTCTGCAATCCTCACAAGAGAGAAAAAAAAAAAAAAAAAAAGAAAGAGAAAAAAAAAAAAAGATGTATAGGCAGGAGAGATGGGGAGAATTTACAGTTATTTACAACTTACTCTCATCCTTTTTCCCTTCATCCCTAATCCCCACTGAGCCAGCCAGGCTTCCTGTGCACCATCTTGACATCTCCATGGTTAAAACCGGGTTTGTGGTTCTGTTGGTGGTGGCACAGCTCCCAGCCATATCAGGCATGGTCACTGGGGGAACTCACAAGCTGTCACCATTTTATCTGCTCTCTCACTCTGCCCCAAATCCTGCAGACTCTCTTAGAATCATTTTAGGCCTTTAAATGTTAGCCACCATTCAAGAAATACTCTCCTAATGTCAGTGATCAAGTAGTGCCTTAGCAGCTGAAAGAGTCCTGGCCATAGCAACTGCAATGCAGAACAATCAGCTGTGTCGCAGACGTACAACATGTCACACATCTGCCACTGCATATCAGCCTCTATCACACCTTCAGAACAGCTCTTTTGATCTATTCTAATGCACAAATTATGGTTGTTATCAGATCTTATTACTGTTATCTTGTGGAAGATTGAAATGTTCTGCTCTTTGACATGAAATACCTGGTAATTTCCCTTTGTGAAACACAAAGAAATTGTGTAGAATGACATTTTATTTTGATCAGCTTAATACTCCCTCAACAATATTTAATACTCTTTACTCTTATAATTAAATGTATGTATTTGCAGGGCAAACTATATGGAGTAGGTTTCATCTAAAGCCATCGTGGCACCAGGGAACAGTGAGCAATGTGACAAAGTGGGACAGGACAATACTGCTTTGTGTTTTTCAGCTAAGCACAGATCAATCAGGATGGCTGTGGTACTTTCAGTTGGGAGTGTAAGGGCTGTGCTGCATGGCAAACAAGGTGTTAGAAGTAATCCTGCTCAGGTAGTAGCGAAGGTGTTATGAGAAATATGGCAGCATGTCCTGGCTGGTGGCAGCAGTGCCCTGTCACTCCCTGGAGGATGGAGAAGCCTGTAGTGAATGATGTGCTGCTCCACTAGCAAAATGTTTCTTCTGCAGTCTGTTAAGACAAAACAAATACTAATCCCTTGGTTGTTTCAAGTCTCTGGTCTGTCAAATGAATAGAAGCCCGAAAATTTGTTTTTGCAGACCAAAAAATCTGCAATGTGGAGCTGCAGCTCAGTGAGCAGGGGGAAACTTTTACATGGCTCAAAAGAGGGACTTTTACCCCTGCATGAGTCTGTCAAGGATTTCCCAGAAAAAAAAAAAAAAAAAAAAAGAAAAAAAAAGGGGAAAAAAAAAAAAAGGAAAAAAAAAAGAAAAGGCCTTGGAGGAGGTTGCTTGCTCATCCCTTCCATATGCGTGGAGACAAATGCTCTGGAAGTGGTGTGTTTGCTTGGACCCCCCAGCGGCTGCAGGCAGGACGCAGTCTCAGAATGGTGTGCAGAAGGCTCTGCATCTGAGGGGAAAAAGTTCATACAAGGGCAGGGAGCGGAAGGAAAACTATTGGAGTGCTGGAAACAGTGCAACATACCAGTCGTTGAGTTTTTTGTCTAGGCAACTGTTTCTAGAGAGTCTCTGAATATAAACTACGGCTTCCAAAATTAATAGACTTCTCAATCCCTTTACTTTATTAACATTCTTGGCGGTTCCCCAGAAGTTGAAGTAAGTTTGGTGAATTGCATCGTGCTTATTAACTGGAGAGAATACCTCCTAAGCATTTTTATTGCCCTTTTAATGTCTGAACCTGAGAATATTATGGCTGTAAAATGAATTACAATGATGTGCTAAACAGGAATAATCTCAGTCATTTTATTAAGCACTTTCTGAATGAAATGGAGATTGCTGGTGTGGTATTTTCTGTTAATATACTCCCTGTGCCTCTGCAGAATGCGTGTGCAGCTCCTCGAGAAATGATGATACAAACCATATGGTATAGGCTAGGGTGCCAGAGTGAATTTTGAACCTCTTGGTGATAATACAGATATGTTACAGCAGTGTCTCCTAAAACACCAAGGAAAGTCTTCCATAATATTTATTTGACATTATTTCTCATGTTGAAATGATCTGTCAGTACCTCTAGTGATTCAGTTATTGTTGCCAAGAACAGTGGTCTCACTTTGCAATCTTTTTTCCCTGTCAACATATCTTTTCTTCCATGTCTACATATTCCTTCGCATGGCTCCCGAAGAAAAGGCTGTTTCGTTTGAGGTAAAGGTTGATGCTTTGGTTAAGCTCATGTAGTTTTCTATATATTTTTCTCTTTAATTAACTGTAGGAGAATCACTTCCAGCAGAGTTAGTTTATGTGAAGAAATGTTAATACCTAAACACGGGGAAAAACAGTTGTTCTCTCTGAAGTTCTGTTGAGGCTTTTGAGTTTTATTTTTCATAGGATACCAAGAAGACCTGTTTTTAGGATGGTTCTACAGAATCTATTATTTTATTATTCAGTAGCTGAAAGACAAGTTCTTTGGGGGAAGACTCATATTTTGTTATGTGGTTATGCAATACCCCAAGTGCATGAACAAGGATCTGGGATGTCTTTTCAATAAAAATGCCTTGTGTTCTTCACCTGTAACACGTTTTGGCCAGATGGGAAGGGCAGAAGGTAGATGGCAGTCAGCAATTCATGCACAGAGGCTCCTTGAATGCAAACAGTTAAATACAGGGACACCAAGAGTTAGGGAGTCAAACAAACTTCAGGAAACAATGGCTAGATGAGACCTGAGGAGCAGATATTTGCCAAGTCTGGGTCACAAGACACATCCACAAGGTGTTGGGGGCATGGAGTGGAGCAGATGCAGCAACAGGTCCTGATCTGAGAACAGGCTATGGGGAAGCACTGTTTCCTGTGCCATGGCAAAGGAAGTACATTTGATGGCAGCTTTGCTGCATGGTTTATCCATGAAATACTCTGCATTTGATGGCAACCTGAAAATAAATAAACTGGCTCAGGCACAATGTTTATTGATTCCCTTTAATGTAACTTGGTACCGCGCAACGTTAAGGACATCTCTGACAAATGTACTTAAAACTTAATGCAAAGTCTTGCATTAGCACTGAATTCTCAAATATGGTGCTTAGTACTGCTTCCCCTGATTTTTTCTTACAGGCATTTGACTATCACTATCTGTTTTCTCCTCAGTTTTGAAATCTGATTGTTACTACAGGGATAAATGAACGTCTTTCATTACAGGCCAGCATATTACAGGCTGACATCAGGATAATTAACGCAGCACAATGCATAACGTACTTTTTTTTTTTTTTTCTGTTACCTTAGAATCTGTGAAAAGCTAGTTTTCTTCCTAGAAGCAAAAGATTGCTTTTCACAGTTTTGTAAACAGTATTCAATCAGTTATAATTGTACATAAAATCAAAGTGTTAATCACAGAATCAATACTTTAGAAACAAAAGGCATCTAAAACCCACTGAGCCTGAAAGATCTGAAATAGAAGTAAAATACACTTTTACATATTCATGAGGTATTACAGAAATGAGTATCAGAGTGATGAAAAGTATATTTGAGTGTAAAATGTTCGTGTTCATTAATCTCTTTTCAAAAATTCACAGGGCAGAGCATCAGCGTATCACCTTCCTGAGAGCACCATTAAAGGCAGAAGATGTTCTCCAAGGCCGTCCACAGTTGCTGTTCATGAGTGCAAGACAGGCGCTGCTCAGGTAGGATTCATCAAACACTCCTGTTTAGGGCTCTGTCAGATCCATGATACCTAGGAAAAAATGATAGTTTCTCTCTCCCTTTCTCTATCTCTCTGAGGGATATATGTTATATTTGCTGATTTAAAAAGTCCCACCAGTCTGTCCACACTATGAAGAGCTGCACTTTGCTATAGGCATTTGGACCATCTTTTGGGTTTCAGGATTGGAAGGGTGTCTGGGTAAAAAAAAAATATATATATAAAGAGGAAGGGGAAGGGGAAAGGAAAGGAAAGCAAAGCAAAGAAGAAGAAAAGAAAAGAAAAGAAAAGAAAAGAAAAGAAAAGAAAAGAAAAGAAAAGAAAAGAAAAGAAAAGAAAAGAAAAGAAAAGAAAAGAAAAGAAAAGAAAAGAAAAGAAAAGAAAAGAAAAGAAAAGAAAAGAAAAGAAAAAAAAAGAAAAGAAAAGAAAAGAGGAATAAAAAAAAGAGGCAATTCCCAGCAATCTGCTGAAATTTATTAGAGTTCTTGTGATAACAAGGCCGTCAGCTGCTGCTCTGGGTGCCATGGAAACAGGCATTGCTGCAAACAGGGGAGGCTACTTTCAACTCATTCCTATTTCAGAAAAAAAAAATAAAAAGAAAATAGGCTTTTGTGGGATGATTCATTTAAAGGATTTTGCCCCCATCTTTTGATAGTGCACGTGGCTGTCATCATGGCAGAGGGATTGAGAGGTGCCACAGGACCGATAGGTGCCTGCAAGAGGAAGAAGTCTGGCAGTGTTCTTTGGGGGAATTTTTGAGCTCCTGGGCTCTTAATTTTTGAGAGAGTTAAGTATCAAGCAGAAGAGGGCATTTTTAAATTAAGTGCTAATCTTGTTAGAGAATGCTCTTGTGGTTAAAGCATTGCACTGGAGTTCAGGAAATCTGATTTAAATGCCTCATTTGGCAGAGAGTTTTTTATGCCCATGCTGCTCAGCCTAGCTTTTCTGCCAGCCCCGCTTCCCCAGGCTCCTGGTGCCACGGGCATGTCTGCAGCTCACGGGTACATTGCTCCCATGCCAACGACCCATACCATGCAGAGGTTATTGCTTTGAGCCTTCAGACTTTCTTTGTGGCCACTCCTCTGGGGTTCCTTAACAGAGTTTTTAAAAAGGGATATTTAAAATATGTTTCAAAAAGATACTGGAAATAGGGAATGACACCTCTAAAAAGCTCTACAAAGGTTTCAGACTCATGAAAGAAAAATGTAATAGCTATCCAATGGCATCATTATTGCTAATTGTAAATAAATGGGCAAACATGAAATCAAACACACTTAGAAAGAGGTTTAGCACCTATTCGTGCTTCTCTACTAGTGGCAGACATTTGTGTATTCTCTTCCCATTCACACTGTATGAAAAAACTGAGGAGGTTAATGCATCTTGTGGCATGTTTGGTCCTATTTCATAGGCTAATTTACAAAGCTGGCACATAGAGAACTCTACCTATTAGTTGTAGGTAATAATGCAGGCTTTATGAGTGCTTTATACATCCTTCACCTTCTCCATTGAAATTTTCAGCTGTAAGGAACCTTCTTAAATGATAAGATAGTTTATGCAGCCTAGCTACTACAGAGTAAAAGACAAGGGAGACTTCTATTCTCTAAGTCTGCCTTAGCAATTTCTCCATGATGGCAACTTCAGCTGCACTTCGGGCTTCCTAAAGTTACATATCTTAGCCCAAAACAGCCAATGCCTAATGATCTTCTCCAGGAGATGAGGAGAAGGCAGGAGTGTGTTTCAGTAAGCTCTAATTAGTTGCACTCCTGTGGAACCAATCATTTTAACAATGGTAAGATGTAACAACCCTGAGCATGGGATTGGTAGTGCGCCAGAATGTCTCAGTGGAAGCTGTTTGCTCTGTTTATTTATTTATTTGTTTGTTTGCTTGCTTATAAATGGCTCAAACACAGTAAGAAACGTCCAGAGAATTGATTCTTCTGAGTCACAGTTGTTTGTGCTCTAGCTCATTTCTTAGCTGATGTAGCTGTGCTTATCCAGAAGACCAGTCGTGGTCTCACTGCTACCATCCAGCTTGTCAAAACTACTCTTTTAGGACCTACTCTCCTCACCAAAGATATCTTTCACTCACACCGTGAGGAGGGAAAGAGAGAGAAAAACATTGACATCGCCATGAACTCAAGCATTTGTTTCTGTATTCAGATTCCCCAGATTTTAGTTCTTTTTACCTGTTTCAGTGACAGTCCCTCTTCTTAATGAAGCACCAGAACAAGCACGTTTTCACTTAAAAAATAATTTATGGGAATCAGCATAATGATTTTATCATTTAAAGCATGGGTAAGCGCGTTGTGCAGCAACAGTGTTCAAAGAGCAGTTGTTAGTATCGTTGTCATAGAAATCCTGTGATAACTGCAATAAATGTACAAGAATCCATGAAACAGAGTTTAAGTGGTGAGCTTTATACCTCAAATATAAGAGCTGGAGATTTCCATTTAATGTTCCTTCAGCTCTCTTTGCTGGGTGGAAGGAGGGGCTTTTCTTCAAAATTCGGAGGATAAAATTGGAGAGATTAATGTGAGATTTTGATAAGATATTACATGGCTGTGGTCAGCTTAAAATATTTTGGAGGTGCAATATAAATGCAATATAATAATAATAATTAAAAAATATATATAATCACAGATTTGTATAAGATCTCTGAAAAGATCTAGATTGCTCTCTGAACTGCACATGTATTGTTTGTTATTCAATAATACAGTAATTTGTTTTGCTTAAGACCAATGTTTCTCCAGTTTCTTTACATCCAACCCATATTGTTTCTGTGCTCATATGAAGATGAAGCCATGGAGACAGATAGTCTGGAGCAGCATATCCTTGCACTCCATGCTTTCTCCATTTATTTCTATTTGCTCTGATTTTCAAGGTATATTGGTATATTGTTTATTGGAAAATAATGTAAATAAATTGTCACAAAGAACTGTATTATAAACCTTGTAGAAAACCTAAACAACATTGGCAGGTAATAGAAAAAAATATTTTATAAACTTTTACACATCTGTCAAGATGCACTGGAGAGTCTTCAACTGATCAGCAGCTTTCTGGCCCAGCAGAAATGAATTATCCAGAAAAAAACTTGAAAGCAAACATTAGGACTAATGTGGAAATCCTTACCTTCTCTAGAATATGGAGAAAGTTTCTGGAGCACACTGGTTTTTATTTACAAATAGCTGCCAAGTTTGGTTGCTTAATTACATATTAGCCCAGCCAAGCCTAGGTGATTGTAGGCATAAAGATGTGGTTTAATATGCTGCAATGGAAAACTAACTTGGCCTTCCTTGCTTTTCTCTCAAATGTGATGCTTCCTTAGCCAAACAAATAAGGTAGGAAGCAAATGCCTTACTTTGCTTAAACGTGTATTTGGTACCAACATTGTAACTATCACTTATATTTAAACTACTGTATTAGTGAATATAAATCAAGGAAACTCCTGGGTTTGTGGTTAGGAGATGTATTTTATTGCAAGGAGTCCAAGGGAATTGTATTTTCTTTGCTCTTCCTTGTTTCTATATATTTACTAGCAGAGGCTGATGTCATGGTAATTGGATGGCCAGGAGGGAGGAGCACTATCATGGTCATCAGCTTATTTCCATAGGAAGTAAGAATGCCCCTATAATGGTTTGGCACTGAAAACTCCTTTTCCCTCTATTTCTTCGTGAGGGGATTGCAAGTAGGTGTGCCAGAATGACAGCAGCAGGGGAAAATGATACAGGCTTTTCCTGCTGTATATTACAATACTATCATCTGAGAGATGCAGTCAGGTTCTGCTTTGGGAATTTACGCTGCCACAGGAAGTATTTGCTAGATCTGTTTCAATTTACACCTTGTGTCAGGAGCCGCATTACTCTGCTATGGTCTCTATGACAGAGTACAAGAAAAACTAACTTCAGCACATGCACTCAAGGCAATGTCTTGCAAAAAAAGGAAGACCAGAAGCAGCTGCAGAACAGCCCTTAGCTGAATAGTGCAAATTAACAGCATTTGGGTTAGTGCAGCTCCCCTGTATCAACAGGCTTTCTTACAAAATGCTGCATGACTGCAGAAGACATTTTAGGAGACATCAGAGCAAAACCTGGGATGTTTGCGTATCCACATGGCCATAAATGCAACCATGCCAGATGAGGTCTTTCGTTTTGGTTTTGTTTTTTTGTTTGTTTTTAATTTATGAATAGTTGTTGATTAGTTCTATGACATACTGGATCTCCATTCAATTGTTTCATTTTATTTCTGCAAACCCAAGTGCGCAGTTCCACAAAGAAGTAAAAAACCTGCATTTCTTATTTGAAATATTTTTCACCTAACTCACATCACAGCATGTCAGCCTTCCAATAATCTCATTAAAGTCTGACATAACTTCTCCAGATAGCATGTCAGCATTACTTTTGAAAATTTTAGCCACGTTAAATGACCTGGTGACCCAGTAGAATCGCCTCATTATATTTTTAGTTGAAATTTACAGTTCCTCAGTTACAAACTGGTATAAAAAATCCATTCAAATAAATGTAAGTTTTCAGGAACAGCATCATTAGCAAGATTCAGAAAATCTGTATCAAGGGAATTTTTCCTTGATTGCCTTTTTCTTCAGTTACAACTACCTACATAATGGAGCAATGAAAATCTTTGAAAAGACTTTTTTAAAGACTGTTTTAATCTTTTTTTTTTTTCCACACTAATACATACATATCACTTCATAGAATACAATCAACAATTGTAAAAAAAGAAAAAAATGAGTTTTTGTCAACCCTGCTGAAATAAATAGTTGAGGGATAGGTTTTACAAAAAATATATATATTTTTTGAATTTACTTTTGGTATCTAACAATTACTTTTTAATTTTTTAAAAAAATATATTAATCTCATTTACTCCTTTGACTGGGATTAATTGAAATAATCTGTGTCTGTAATTGTTTCCTCTCCTACTTTAATTGTCCAGATATCTTGATGGCTATAACTATCATAAAGTTCTCTG